CCCCCCCCCCCCAGGCCCAAGTAACCGACCAATCCCTTACCTGGCAACAAATGAGGGTAGGGCAAAAATATAAAAGCTCAAAAGAACGGACAACTCCAAAAGATCTTGGAGTGAATGCGAGTGGGTGCAGAAAAAAGTCAGCTAGAAGAACTATACAAGACAGCTGAGAAACATTAATTACTAGTTGAAAAAGGCATTTTTTGTGCAGAGAAAATGATTTAGAACTGAAAAGTGAATACGACTGTGACATAGTTTTTCAACCCACCAAAAATATGAAAATATATATATGTTTGTTTTCCTTACTTTAATAGGCAGAAATGGTGTGCCAATTTTCAGAGGTGACAAATGATGGCACTTTTATTTGTGGGTTTTTTACGCTGCGAGTTGGAAATCGAGAATCAGGAATTGGAGAAAACAATTGACATTGAGTAATATTATATAATTCTAATGTGTTGGTTTCATATGTATTTAATATATACAATATGAGAGATTAACTTAATATGTACTTCCTTCAATGATACCCGTACACTTTTCACAAGAATGTTTAAATAAATGTTAAATATTTTATGTATTTAAAATTGATTGACACACAAGAATGACTTGTTGGTGGCTCCAACAGTCACTTATAGAGACAAAATTTTGTTCTATGACTACACCACAACAGAGAAGTGTGTTGTTTAAAATACATTAAATTAGAATACAGGGGGAGAAGGCAATAGTTGGATTGAGCAGATATGCCTGGCATATCAAAATGGCAGAGTGTCATACACTGGATTTATCTCACAATCTGTTTTGGACAGTGAATCGCATTTCTACCCATAATAGTACAACATGAAACCTCACAAATGAGGAACATTATTTTGAGAATTTTAGTTCTACTCTATGACTATAAAAAAATGACCACTAAGTATATGGCGTCAATAGTAACAGAATACCATATTTGCTTGATTGGAAACACATCTCGAAAGAAAGCATATAATAAAGCAACAGTGTTGTGTATTAAATCATTCAAATATACTGTAATGCTTGTACCCATAGAAACGCACCTGTAATAAACATAAGCACATGGATTTCTAAAGCAAATACAAACAGCTCTTAGACGCAAATGACCACATAGATAGTGTTGCGAGTGAGAGAGCCATAAGAATTGTGTTCGCCCCTCAAAACAAGTCTCATGGAATCTCACTCTCAATGAGATCTCGTCAACCATTTGCATTGAACGTCTGTTTTGCCATTGTGGATGTGCTCAGATTCAACATTAGGTATCATTGATCTTGGATATCTAAATGAGAAGCAAGGTGATAGTCTACACTGCAATTATGTAGGTACAATATTGCTTGCATTTTACAAACATTACACTTATGTAGAAAAACATAAAAATATTAAAACATTACATAAAAAAGACAGTGTCTAATACAGACCAGAACAATGTTATTCTCTGTCAACCCCTTAGAGACACACTAAATGAAAACCAAAATACCAAATTAACTTTTTGAGACAAAATGCAATTTCATCTGTTTTTAATGAGATTAAAAATAAAAAGTATTTATGTATTAACTCTCTCTGACCAAACTTATAAATTAGCAGTGTACTGTAGAATACTTTATTTTAGCTGGAATTAATTTTCACTGAAAAGTCTTTTATGGTGTTTTGTATGGAATTTTCACTGATTTTTGATGAGTTGAATGTAAAATATAGGAAAAAAGGTATATTCACTGAATTTTATTTTCACTGAATCATTCCATTCCTTCAGCGAAAATAGCGAAAATTAATTCTAAGCAAAAGTATTCTACAGTATTCATTCCTCTAAAGGGTAAAACAGAGAACTGTACTGAAATGGCCAAAATAATTATAATATAATGTACTCACTATGCCAATAGAGATTAGGTTGCCCTCCACTAGCTGCACACATGCACCACAAAGGGATTTACAAGGAAAAGAGAAAAATAAAAGGCAAAACATGTACAGTTGACAAAATACAGATAACATTACAAAAGAAGGGTTTTAGAGTGCAATAATTACTATGGTTTATATGGTAATGAGTTGTGCACATTAGCGGACACACATGGTGAGTGAGATACATTTGTAATGTTAGAGTGCAAATTTAATTATTTATTAATTATTTGGTAAATGAATAATTGTTATTAAAATTACTAGTAACTTTACATCGTATAATATTAATATTATTAAAAATATGAATAGATTAATCTAGAATCAAGACTTACCAGCATATGTGATTTCACATTTTGCCAAATTACAGTTAAATGAAACTGACAAAAAATCTTTTTTTTTTATATAGATTCAGAAATTTTAGTTGAACTACCATGTACAAATAAAAACAAAAGAGGACAGTTTTGTGGAGCTCTGAGAACTGACCAATTTAACTCAAAGTGTCTCAGAGATCATTTCAATTAAGTTTAGGGAGTTCATAAATATATGGACATGATTAAAATGTTCAAATGATTATTTGAAACGATATTGCAACATTCCTTTTGTATAGTTTCATTCAGAAACTGCTGCTGCTGCTATCAGCTATTCCCTGAGTGAAACTTTTTTTCATTTCAGCCCAGGATCCAGTTATGACTTTTCATTGCATTGACATACATTTTGTATTTGAATAATATCACAGTGCCTTATTTAGTGTTTTTTGTTGTCATTATTAAGTTAAAAAGTCAAACAATTCATATAAATATATACAACCCAGTCAACTTTTTTTATATCTGAAAATGTTTTTAATCGATGTGGAGAGTGTGATGTGATATTCTGCCAGTGTTTTCTGTCTATCATCAATGACAGGCATGATATCCATGAATTGATTACTGAAAAGCCATCATGACCATTCAGAGGCTATCTGACTTTTTCAAAATGATGGAATACATGATGTATGTTTTTTGGGACAATTATCAAAAATATTTAAATAAAATGCTGTAGATGGGCAGTTCAGACCAAGAAATTACTAAACTCATAATTCGTGTGTTTTCCAACTAATATATACAAAAACTAACCTGTACTACAGCTTTCTAATATATCAAATATTTTGCGGATAGGCCTCATGGCAGCTTCTTTACACACCAGTTTAATGTCAGATCCTGAATAACCATCAGTTCTCTGTTGGAAAAAAAATATAACAATACCAGTACATTTGAAGAGTTTCCTACCAGACTGAATAAACCTTTTGCAAGGTATCGGATAAAAAAAACACCATGTGATACAATGCTTTCCAAATACAGAATTTTGTCTACTATTCAGCCCAGCACCAAACAGCAGAATGGTTTCAATAGATGCAATATAGAAAAATACATGTAGATTTTTAGTATTGTTTGCTTGATACAGCATGTTGATAAATACACTGGACTATGAATTATCATGAACCGAAAACCTAATCCTTTGATAACATTTTCTACTAACTTATGTGCACTGGTTATTTTGGTATGTACAACAACAATCAGTTCATATGTGTATAAGTATTTTTTCCATCAAAAACAAACTGTTGTTTATGCTTGCAAGAAAAGACACATTTATAGTTCACACTCAATAATCATGGTATGAATGATATCCTTTCATATTTTACAAACATCCGTTGAATTTTTTATTCGATATACATGACATTATTATACATCTGTCATCGTACGCCATAAGTTACAGCGTGCCGAAATTTTGCGGGGTATTTTCATTCTACCATATTAGGAAACGTGAATTCCAAATATGGAATGATTGCGCGCGTAAGCGTTCTCTAATAATAAAAACAAACATGGCTGCCACCAGGACTCCATACAAAGAAGTTCGCTGATTCTGTTCTTTTTAGATTTGGGCACTCCCATGATGTATCCTTGGTAGTAGGATGCATAATAATAAGGTTATTACGAAGACACTTCAAAGTATGTACTCAGACAGTACGCTGTGTGCTGGTCGATACTGCTGTTGTACTGTCTTTGTGCAAAACCGGTACTTTGAGGTATTTTCGTAATAACCTTATATTATCTTTTCTTACCTGTGCAAGCAAATCATAGTCTAGATCACTTTTCAGTTGTAAGGGTTGATCTGGATTAATAACATTGGGTAAATGTGTTTGGAACATGTTTCTCCTAGCTTCAAGTGTTGGTAAATCTACCAATATTCTTTTCTCCAATCTCCGCAGCATTGCATGGTCCAATTCCCTGTAAATCAAAATATCAGTTTACAAATTATAGGTTTGTTTTTTTAATTTAATATATCTATGATCTTTTTGGCTCAATTCAAAATCTATTTATTCAATTTCACAAAAGGAAGTAAATACTTGGCATATCAATTAGGCTGAAGTAATTTTCATATTGATTTGAAACAAGACATGAATGTCACAGTCCCCAACATTTAATTATAAAATACTCATGTTAAAATAATACATGCAACATCTGCAAACAGGTGCTCTGAGATTTGTAATGGTACGACCCATTTATCCACTAGCTGTGACAACTGAAGCAATGTGTCTGGCAATGATTTATAAACTTTAACTGCAAAGTGTTTTTACTGATTTTCAACTTTGTGACCTGGTATTTCAGTGATGGCTCTTTATAATGGAATGCAATTTTTACAGTTTAAAGATATAATATACAACAACATTTCTGAACACTTTTTTAGCTCTGCTGTCGACAAAGTCAACACTGCGGAGCTGTTCATATTACTGATTGTCTATCGTCATCGTCGTCAACTTTACAATTTCAACTTCTACTTCAAAAACGCAATTCAGAATATTTTCAAATTTGATATGCAAGTACCGTGGATGGGTTCTTTCTCAGAGTTGTTCATTTCATGTCAAAATCTCAAATTCTCTATTTTTGGTGAATATTTTTGTTATTTTTGGTAAAAAATGATATTTTCGACTTCTTGCTAAAAATCGCAAGTCTGATTGCTATGATATTATATATATAGGTACTACAGGTAGTCCTCTCTCAGATTTGTTCATTTTATGATGTCTTTAATTTGCTAATTTTAATGAATATTTTTTCCGTAAAAAGTGATATTTCGATATTTTAAGTCTGATTGCTTCGATACTATACATACCGGTATTGTTCATTTTCTAATGATATCTTTAGTTCTTTAATTGAAATGTGCATTGCTAACAGCGAAGCTATCTTTTTAGCTGACAGGCTGCTTGTTCAAGATTTCAGCATTAATTTTTCATAAAACAAAACAAAAACCAGACTGTGGTCCATTTCTGTCACTGATTCAGTTCTTGACATCACTGAAAACCCTAGCATTACAATCTAAGCTAATTATTTATTCTGAGCATGCTCAGTTGTTCTCTCAGTGTTGTTGGGAGAGGGAATTTTGGATGAAAATCATGAAAAAGACCCACTTAGGATTTTCAGATCTGGAAAAAAAAATTATGTGCATATTCAACAAAGACTTGTTCATCATCCTGCCAAGTTTTATCGAAATCTGCTGCAGAATATAAACGTCACGCTGCGCCTGAAACGGGGACTAATTAGTCAATATTTTCCTGCCTGGAGCTCAGTCAGAGGTGTACAGAATACCAAATCAATGCAAGTTTTGTCATTATTGCCATTATTCTGACGAACACTGTAAAATACTCACCATGGTAAATTAGAAGCTGCTAATAAAAACACTAAATCATCAGATTTTGCTAAACCATCCATCTGGACTAATAACTCAGTTTTCATTCGCCTGCTTCCTTCGTGTTCACTAACAAGCAACAAAACAAAAATGATGTATTCCACCATATATAACAAAGTTGACTACACCCAGCATTGTGCATGTCATCTGTGGGCAATCGTTCAATGCACAGGTAAATAAGTATAAAGCGAGCGTGAGGCTTGCTCGGTAGTGACAATAGATTTGTCTGTAAGATCCAATAATAATGATGATCTATGAATTCACTGAATCTGACATGCATTTCTGGGTAATACTTACTTTCCAGACTGTCCACCTCGTTGACTCATAATAGACTCCAACTCATCCAGGAATATAGTGGACGGTGCATGGAACCTAGCTAATTCAAACAACACCTACAACAAGAAATACACCCGGTATTTCACTTTTAAAGAAATATTACAGCAGAGTTACAGGGCCATGTATCACATATTGCTTGTGTAGACTTATTGTATGCAAACTTACAGCATGGGAAGAAAGGCGTGAACTTCAGAATCTAGTGGATTTATTTGCAAAATTTGTTAACAATTTTATGACATATACAAATGTTGAGATACACCAACAAATAAAATTGCAGAATAATGAGAATCATTGACATTGAACACATTTCATTCAACCACCTGAATTAATTTCTGGAGTTTGTCATCTTTCTTTGTTGATTTTCATAAAAACTAGACTGGTATTTATTAATGTTTCTGTGTCATTAACTTTAACTAATCATGCCAATGTAAGGTGGGGTGTCTTGTAACTACATGATCAATAACATTAACTGTGGTACAAAATAGAAATTATGTTATTGAAAAGCTAAAAGAATTGATAAATACGATACATATTAGGCATTATTGGTTAACAGTGCATCAACTGAGAGATTGTTTTGTGGAAAATCTATGACACACTAGATAGGGAAATTGTTTTTATTCGGTTTCACTTCTTTTTAATTCTAGGGGGCATAACAGTATGGATATGTCCATTTCTGGTGTATGTATTGTCAACGAGAATCAACTATTTACAGGCACACCAAGAAGGAAACTATACCCCACTTTGAAATGAAAGAACCACATTATCTGACTGACGTCAAATTGAGCAAGTTATCAAACATTTCTCAAGCATGCCTGGGCCAATTTTATTCAAACTTGCTATGAATAACACACTTTATGTGTTACTGATGCATATCAGCTTGTTTTAAACTAATTCGAGGTACCTTGACCAAAGTTTTTCCAAGTTGGTGCCAAGATATAATGGTATGCATGTTTTTTGTTTTTATTTTGATGACCTTTGACTGACGGGAGGCCATTTTTTCACAAAAAACACCCCAATAACAAAATTTGAACATGTCAACAACAGTTTCTCAAGCAGTTACTCACTCTGACTAACTTTTCAGAATCTCCTCTCCACTTGCTCACAATACTTGATGCTGAGATGTTGAAGAATGTGGTATTGCATTCAGTGGCGACTGCTTTAGCTAAAAGTGTTTTACCAGTACCAGGTGGACCGTACAGCAATAGACCTTTCCAAGGTGACAAGATACCCGTAAACAACTGTGGATACTGTGAATCAATAACAAACATTGTACTTTTTTGTATTCAGTACGATAAATGCAGTAAATTATTCCGTGCTGTGTCCTGTAATTGCATTCATTTTCACTAGTACCGGTACTTTAATTTCACGATGTTTTTGATATTTGATCATATTTACTGGGTTTTAAATTCCAGTGAAACAACAAGTTCTATTGTAGTAATTTCACCATCATCATGTACACATGAAGTACCGGTACAAGGTTTGTTATTCTTGAAATTTCTGAAAATGTGTTTTTCATTCATAGACTCCACCAATGAAGTTGAACAAAATATGATTCATAACATTTTATTCGTACACACATCTGTGAGATATAACTTGGGGATAACATAGAAGTATGTATGTTAACATAGAAGTATATTATATTCAACTTGAGGCAAACCCTCCTTTTGTTGTGGGTGCGCACTTAGTAACATAGTAACCAGGAATGATTGAACTACTGATTGATGACTTTATTTCACAAACAGTCAGCCATCCAGAATTATATAAATGAACTAACTGAGGCTTATTATAATCCTTGATGTTCATACATATGTTAATTTAGCATTACACACTACAATTCAGTAAATGACCTTTGACATTTATGTTTTTAAATTGAACAAGCAGCCTGTCGGTTGAGATAGCTCCGCTGTTAGCAATGCACATTACAACAAGTCATTGAAAATGACACAGTCCCCGTTAAATTTTTGAAAGTTCTCTTTGTGCTGTCATATTAAAGCAGGGGGGGTTGTCGTGAGCGTGTCCTTGAAACTTGAGTTCCAAGTGGCGTACACAACAGATTGTTTATTTACATCAAAACACGTGTTCCGTGTAGTAGTAATATGGCCAAAAATAAAAACAGCCATTATTCGTCCATCTTTGATCTGATTATGAAACACACTGATATGTATGATGTATGTGCCAAATACGAATGAAAATGGTACATAAATTGTGGAAATATAGTAGTAAAGCCAAAAAGTCAGATTGCTGTCAATCAGCCATCCTTGACCAGATTTAGAAACAAATTGTCATGGACATTTATTTTAACATGTATAAAGTACATGTATGTGCCAAATTTGAATGAAAACTGACAGAGCACGTCCAAGATACCGCATAAAAAAAACCAAGATGCCTGTCAATCGACCATTTTTGATCCAATTGCGAAATAAATCGTCATGGACATGTATCCTAACATGTATAATCTATGTACCAAATTTGAATGAAAACTGACAAAGCATGTCCAAAATACAACATTTTCAAAAAACAAGATGGCTGCCAGTCGGCCATTTTGAATCGAATCGCTAAACCACTGCATGTGCATATGTCCCAGATAAAGTACTAGGCACATGCAAAGGATGAATGAAATCGGTCAAAGGGATTCTGAGATATGACTCCGGGCGGACGCACGGACACACAGATGCATGGACGCACGGACGGAGACCGAATTATAAGTCCCTAGTTTTCGGACTTCATCCGAACAGGGACTAATTAAAGAACTGAAGATATCATTAGAAAATGAACAATATGTATAGTATCAAAGCAATCAGACTTGCTGTTTTCAACAAGAATTCGAAAATATCACTTTTTACCAAAAATGACAAAAATACTTGAGAATTGAAATGAACAAAATTACAAAATTATTCACCAAAATAAGGGACAACATCAAAAGTTCAATGTAGGATAACAAACTTAATTCCTTTAGTTTACAAATACTCCATGATTTTTTTGACTTCATTAAAAAATAAAATCGTTTTTGTGGGATGGAAACTTTTTGAGGTCAAACCCCCCACCCCCCATCCCCAAACTAAAGCAAATAAGTTTTTTATCAGACTACGATCTTTTGACGTTGTCCCTAAGAGAATTAAAGATATCCTCACAAAATGAACAAATCTGAGAGATGTACACATGTAGTACCTATATATGTAATATCAAAGCAATTGGACCTGCCGTTTTTAACAAGAAGTCAAAAATATCACTTTTAACCAAAAATGACAAAAACATTCATCAAAATTAGAGATTAAAGATATCATCACGAAATGATGAAATCTGAGAAAGGCCCACATGTAGTACCTATATATGTAATATCAAAGCAATCGGACTTGCGGTTTTTAACAAGAAGTCGAAAATACCACTTTTTACCAAAAATGACAAAAATATTCACCAAAATTAGAGAATTGAAGATATCATTACAAAACGAACAAATCTGAGAGAGATTCACATGTAGTACCTATATATGTAATATAAAAGCAATTGGACTTGTGGTTTTTAACAAGAAGTCGAAAATATCACTTTTTACAAAAAATGACAAAAATATCCACCAAAATTAGAGAATTGAAGATATGATCACAAAATGAACAAATCTGAGAGAGGTCTACCCAAGGTACATATACACCAATGATCAAAGCATTCAGACTTGTAGTTTTCAAGAAGAAGTCGAAAAAGTAAAACATTGACACGGACGACGGACAATCACTCGTATGATAAGCTCCGCTCGACAAAGTCGACAGCGGAGCTAAAAAAGCAAACATTTGCTACCTTAATGGGATAAACAACAGCCTCTTTAACCAATCGTTTTGCAGCATCTAGACCAATAATATCATTCCATCTCACATCTGGGTTTTGTAAATAAATATCTTTACTAATCGTCTGTGCTAGTTCTCTCCATTCCATGTTGTAACCGCCAAAACCACCTAGTGGTTTCAATAAGCGTTCCTGATAGAACAAAATTGTTATAAATCAAATTTCTAACAAGTTACCTGGGATGGCACAATGGGCCTTAAAAATGACCTGTCATTTACTTTTGAAATGTTGGTCCAACATCCTGGGTAAGGTTAAACTGCTGATATTCAGAGTAAAATCATCAACAGAGAAAAGGTAGGTGGCTACTTTTATTGAAACACATAAACTGCTCCTGAAAATATATTTCAAATTTGGGGAAAATACCACACATTTTGACAAACTGATGTAAAATTCAAATGTAAAGACACTGCCTGAAAAAAGTAAATAAAAATAAATCCTAGCACTATAGAGCAAAATATGCACTCACCGAAGCATCATAACTGTCCTCATTACCGATATCTTGACCAGCACCTTTTATTGCATTATTCAACATTGCACGCATATCAATAATTGGTCCTCTTCCATGAGGTAATTTCCGCGGTCCATTCTGAGTTCTATCATCTTGCTTTGTACTGACTGTGGAGCCAGATACAGCTAGATCTGACAGAGGATCCCCATTAGATAGACTACCATTCAACTGAAAATATAAGACAAAATCGTACAATGTTACCGCAATCAACATGACACAATGAGCGCGAGTCCCAAAATTTGAGCGATGTGCTCAAGTCTCGACCCTTTACTTTTTTCACTCCTCTATTTTCTCAATTAGTTTTATGATTTTCTTACTGATGCAGTTGCACATATGATAATTAGTTCATTTGCTGCTAATATCCAAGATAACATGTAGCATTGCTTGAAGCTATCAATATTTCATCTCGTGCTACACGATCAAAATATACCGGTATCAACATTGCTTCAGGCAGTACCATGTGATATCTCTGGTATTTGCCATAAATAACTACCGTAATTGTTAAATACATCTGCCACTGAAGACACTAGAATTCAGATGTTTATAAAAACCTTTAGGGATATTTTCAAAAGTGTTTAAATCGGCGTATTGACGTCTTCTTTATTTACAAAATGGACATCATATTCAACGTCACATTTGAACCCTTTTTTTTACATTTGGTGCAGCTACGTATGACGGAAATAGAAATTATCACACAGGAACTGCATTTTGGGCTTTTTAACTCACTTATAGCACGTGCATCTACACAGTATGACATAATACAGCACAGATCAAAAAATGTATATCACATACTGTGAAATACTTTATTTTCGCTTGGAATTAATTTTCACTGAAAGAATGATTCAGTGAAAATAAAATCCAGCGAATATACCTTTTTCCTTATATTTTACATTCAACTCGTCAGAAATAGTGAAAATAAATTCCATACAAAACACCCAAAAAGTCTTTTCAGCAAAAATTAATTTCAGCTAAAATAAAGTATTTCACAGTAGTTTAATGTGACATACTGCCAAGTTTGTTTTTGCACATGTACCTGAATGTTTTGCAAAAGCTTATACGACCCAATGACTATGGTTTATGGTAACAATGGTGATTATCGCAACTCTTGATTATTGTCAGAGTAGCATCAATCCTCACCTATGGATCAGATTGTTACAAAACTCTAGCAGTAATCACTTGTGTATATTTACATCTACCTAAGAAAAAATATATTCTTGGAATGTGGGATTTACTACTCCAAGCAAGAAAACATTTATAAAAATAATGTTATTCCATGAATACCACAATGTTTTTCTTCTCAAAAAATAATTATTTGTTCATGGTTAAATTAGTGCAAGATTATTTTGACATTGTCATATGATCTAGATATTCAGCTGAGATGGTCAACTATTATGTGCACACATTCAATGACATATACTTTTGTGTTGCTTTGTATGAGCATAGACCCTCTTTTAGAGGGTCTATGGTATGAGAGTATAGCTAAAATGTTGAGTAAAAGTTTGAATTTCGATTTTTCATCAATAACTTCACAAAGGTGTAAAGCAGATGTAGTTCATTCATAATAAAGAATTGACAGGTAATTCAGTTCTAGTTTGTGATTGTATTTATATTTTATGTACTGATTATTTCCAATTCCTGAATTACCGGTCGACACGATGTAATTCTATTTGCACCTATGTAACCTATCTAGCAACAGGCAGGGGTAGGAACAAATAATATAAAATGTCAAAAGAACATAAAACAGGCAACCACATTTTCAAAAAACAAAATGGCTGCCAGCCATCTTGGATTTAATCAGTAAACCAATGCATGAATATATGTCCCAGATGAAGTACTAAGCACATGCAAAGAATGAACAGATTTGGTCCACAGGGTTTGGAACTACTGTATGAACGTGGACAGACAGAAGGAGACTGACAAGTCCCCATTTCAAACGCATTCAAAATGATTTTTGCAAAGAAAATGAACTAACCATGATACATGTATGTGTGTGTTTCGCTGAGTATGACCGTTACATAGTTTTTCATCTCCAAAAATACTCTATGAAAATATTACACTATAGCCAAAGATAAATTGCATGTTCGTTTCTTGCTACAACAAAATAATGTGCACATTTTCAGAGGCTGATACAAACTAGTTGAAAGATGATGGCACTTTTATTTGAGGTTCTTTTTTCACATTGAGAGTTTGAAACACGGTTACTCTGTGACTCTGTGAGTTTGGAACATTCAAAATCTGTCCCACCTTCCCGTTTGTTTCAGGTCAAGCAATATGTGCAAGCGTAAAAAACAATAAGAGTAAGACACACAAACACTATCAATTCAGGAATTATGAAATATTAAGCCTTTATTTTGTCTTTATCTGCCGAAAATAGAATCTGCTGTTGTCTTCTGTGTATAATTAATGCTTATTCTCCACTTCATTTTTGTTTTCATTTTTTTACTGAAAAAGCTGCACAAAAAATCTGACCAACTACTAAACAGAGTAAGTGTTTCAATCAACAAAGCATTACATGTATGTACATACTCATAAGATATCTGTAAGGGAAAACAGACTGGGATGTACCAGGTACATTCAACTTGTGAACAACTAAAGCTAACAGACACACAAATGACTTATAATATTGATGTAATTTATGTGATGAACGTGAAATCAATAAGTGTAGGAATCAGAGAATTTGAAAGTTGTTTATATGATGCTGATGCAGAGGAATGTCCTTTGATTAGTTACTCAGTTGTGATCTTGTTAAACAAAATCTACTTGTGCTATACATCTTATTTTAATCATACTGAGTAGGCATAGGCTGAACAGGAGCTGGTAAACAAGTTTCCAATATTTTTAGGAGGAATTCACAACTGCCATCCCATTATGATGTACCGAGGGTATATTGTGCTGAACATAGTTACTATGACTATTTTAATAAAACATATAAAAAATGAAATTCTAATTTGAATTAACATTCATATTCTTAATAAAATCATTGTCCAGTGCACAAGGAAAATATCACAACTAATTTGCATGATAATAGAATACATCAATCAGGTCTATTGTAATTAATTGTTATGATGCTGTGGCTCTACTGTTTATCACAATGGAAGTGTCCCTTGTCTGCAAAGCCATGACGGGAACTCTAGATATTATAGTACATGTACGAGGGTGCACCTGGTGAATTCATTACAGATTGGATTTAAAATTAGTAATAGAAACTGACTAAGAGGATGTAATCTGATCGGATCTTGAGATTGAGGTGAAAGTAATGAAACATTTCAAACATTCCATATAAATTGTTAACTGATGTCTGCTCTGAGACTTCACTGCACCACAGTTCAATATAGAGGGACTGTGACTGCACATATATTTGACAAATTTAATCTTGTAAAACATACATCTCAATTATCATTCTCCTTTGCAGAGACTATGAGTCACTAAGCTAGGTAGTTGCCAGGGAACGCCCCACTAGTTTCTGCCACAGGCTAATTTAAATATTAATAACTGGATCTACTTTTTGCTTTGCCATGAGTGCATGCACTTCGCTCCCTGGGGTGCCTAAAGTATGTATGTAAGTATGAAATCAAGCCCAGTTGCATTTTATATTTGAGAAAATTACCTAAACACCTTTTTACCTATTGATTTCAGCTTTGCTACCTTTTTCCTACTGATTTTTTATTTTATTTTTTATTTTATTTATTTTACTTTATTTTAATTTGTTTTTCCAATGGACTACATTTTAACAATTATATCTGACACAATGATGCATTTAACACATGATGATTAGCATAATGTTTGCAAATACAAATCAACATTTCATTTTTTCTCTGACATTAGGTCAACCGGTAGTCAGAATATTTCTTTATATACCAACAAATCCATAAACTTCATGCATCTACATTGTCAAGAAAATAATTTTAATAATATTTTTTTTTAAGTAATGGTTGATGATGTTTTGTGCTTTTCTGTGTTTTGGGGAGCAGAATGGGAGCCAGTCGACCAAATGTCAACTAAAACCAATAACAAATTGACATGCATCGTTTTTGTTGGACAGACCCTGAAACACCCAACAGAATCACAGCTCAGAACATGGACTAAAATTAAACTCACTTGTCTTTGTGGATCCTTTGGTGATCTGGTATCTTGTTGCTGTTGTCTTCGGAGTGCTCCAGCACTGCTTGATTTGGGTCGAGCTTGCGTTGTGCGAGAAGCACTACTTGTATTTGTTACAGTAGTTGTATTAATACTAGTGTTTTGTTCTGGTGGCTGTGGGATACGTGGTAAGGAGGGAGTGCTACTACTTTTGCTGTGAAGATTGAAATAGATGACACCATGCAATCAAAAGACAAAGCTTAAATCTAATTGGAATAATCATTCAAATTCATGCTGCCAAACATAACTAGAAAGTTTTTACCAATCAGGGTTAAGTTATTTTAAAAGCAAACCACAACAAACGAAAGAACAACCACTGATTGGGGAATTTATGCAATTTCTGCATTTTCTTAAATGTTAGTCATTCATAGTTTGATTTTAGTTTACTGAGCATGCAAACAAAACCGTTGACTCATGTTGTTGATCATGCAGTAAAATGAGAGTGAAAGTCCGAGAAGAGTACCCAAATAACAAACACACATATCAAGTTTTCTAAAATTTTTTTGTGTCTGTGTGGCCATCAAAATCACCATTCTACGTCTAATCAAAAATAGTGTGAATTTTAAAAAAGATGTGCTATTTGACTTTTTGTAGAAGATGCACCAAAGCTTCCTTTCTTTGCAACACACATGAAATCAAATGTTTCGTGCAAGTGCAATGATGATTTGAATGATACAATGTAGTTAAAAACCATACAAAAACACCACAAAATTATTACAAGTTCAGAAAAAAATTTTTTAGTGAAAAAAACCCAGCAAATGCGCAGCAAAAAAAAAGCCAAGCAGTAATCATAGCAATAGCAGAGATAGTTAACACCCTCTCAGTAACACGTGTCCCAAAACCATCAATACAATTAACACGGGGAAAAACGTATTAAAAAACGTATTAGAGTTAAAAACATATGGTGACATAAAAGTGCTTAATTCACCTCTTAGTACCGTTGTCCAACTTTTTATTACAAAAGGAATGGCTCCTAATACCAGTAATAAGCAGAGTTGGTTATTTGTGTTGCGATATCATTAGTTTTACAATAACAGAATCTTGCATGGAATTTTGACACGCAAATTAAATTAAGATGGAACATGAGCTGCATTTTTGGCAATTTTTTTTTATATTTTAATATAATCAAAGTAATACCAGTCTAAATTATCTTGGTGGTACCAAACAAGAAAAGATGTACTGTATGTAGCACATGTATTGAGAATGATTCAGATGACTAAAAAATGGTGGTTTAAACAAAAATCCATTTTCCAGCTGCATAGCTACTATTATATATTCTAGTATTTTACCCTACATTGTATGTGTATTCATTTGGTAGTATTTATGTCATCATTTTGTGGAATTAAAAATACAAACAATTTGGCCAAAAATAACAGCTGATGAACCGTAAACACATTGCCTGCTGATGCCAATTTCTTTTCTCATTTATTATTTGATATTCGTTAAGGCTTACAGCACGCAATGTGTGAAACCATGCAACACAAAAAGTTAGTACATAATTACTTGGTTGTTTAATTGACGACAACACATACTAAACTATGGACATGCATGAGTTACATTAAATGCATTTATTTGATTTATAACTAAAGTCTCACTTTTTTGATAATTTTCCACCAGTTGCTGCACCAGGTCTTGACAAGTTACTTCCTATAAAAAGTACATTACATAAAAAGTACATTATTTTACATTCTCTCTATTTATGATGGCATTAATTCTATCAAATTAATTTTAACTAGTGCTGTTCAGTGTATCTCAAATGGTAATATGCTTGTTCCAGGGCACAGTATATTTTATACTAGACTTGTCCAGAACATGCTGTTGCAATTTAATTTTGTTTCCCTGATTTCGAGCGTTTTTGTGTTGTTCTGCTCACATGTTACATTACATGGATATTAGTAATCCTTTGAATGCTATAGTAGAGTATTTGCAGATTTTTCAACAAAAATGATCCATCATGATTAAATTATATAAAAATAGTCAATACGTAGGAAATATTGCACTAAAAAAAATGTTGATGGAAAAACATTATATTCATGGACAAAAATTGTAAATTTACAGTAGTTTGAAATGAAATATATCTTAGAGATAACTTACCACTTGATAATTTTTTAGTTATTTTGGGGTACTTGTTAAATTTCACATAGTAATACGATTCATATTCCTGTTGAAAAAAATAACAATGTAAAAGAAACATATTGTAGAATAATGCAACTACACACATACATGTAACCAGGCCTCGCTGGGCATGGTTAATAAAAGAACTGTTAAAAATTATATGCTTAACAATCATATAAAGGAAATGAATTTATCACCAGGGATTTCTATTTGAATCTTAAGGGCAATATGTTTAGATGAAGAATAATTGTTCATACACTGTATTGTGTCTTCGCAACAGTCATGATTTGGTCTGGAATAAGGTGTGGGTAACTGTATACTTACAGACTTACAGTATATACTTAAGGTAGAGATGCAGTTTATTTGGCTTGCTTTTTAATTGAGTCATCAGACAATGAAGATGGTATTATATATCCAGCATGTTATATATTTTCTGAAAGCTTATTATACAAACTTTGTAAAACTTGTCTTTATTTTAAATATCCAGAATGCGTTTTTGATTTTGGGTCAAAAATATGCTTTTTTGGACAAAAGTGGTTTAAAAAAAATTATCTCAAAAACTTCAAGTCCGTTTGTGGGTAAAATTACATCACTGGATACCTTGGTATACTACTAATTCAAATGCGTCCACTCATCTCTCTAACGGCTTTCAAAGTCGCACAACATGACCTCAAAGTTCACTCTTTTCTATTTTTGCATAATTTATATATCCATGTTAATTGCGGACTTGTTATTTTTGTTCCACTCGCAGTAATAAACTGTCCAGACGCGGCAAATGGCCAAAGCGTCTATCAGCTATTTTAATTTAAAACCCAAGAATTCACCAAAAA